CACCTGTGCCGAACAAATGTACGGAATGTGCGAGTCCCTCTGGGAGCCCAACATGGTACGTTGGTGTCATGGAGGGGGCTGGGCTCTGAGGTACCCACCCTTGGTCATTAGGAGAAAACTGTGTTTATGTGGCAGGTGATGGGGAAGATGGGGAGGTGGGAGGGAAGGCCGCAGCTGCTGCTCCTTGGAAGGGTATCCAGAACTTCCATCTGCCAGGGCTAGCTGGCTCCAGAGGAGAGCATCTTCTGTTAGGAGACCACAGTTAGGTATTTGCCACAGCAGTAAGAATTCCTTACGTTGGGTTTACAGGGTTCTTGCATCCATTCATTGAGCAAACGTTTAGCTCAGTGTAGAGTTAGAGGCGGCTCAACAATGGGCTTGGGAGCCACGTTGTCTGGGTTGGAAACCTGGATCCACCCACCACCTTAGTTATTGATCTTGGGTAAGCCAGTTTACCTCTTTGCCTCTACTACCTTGACTGTAAAATGGGGATAATAAAGTCTACCTTAGAAGCAGTCCTGCCTAGTTTGGCTGGGCACGGTGGCTCACAGCTATAATCCCAACACTTTGGGAGGCTGAGGTAGGCAGATCACTTGAGGTCAGGAGTTTTGAGACCAGCCTGACCAACATGGTAAAATCCTGTCTCTACTAAAAATACAAAATTAGCTGGGCGTGGTGGCACGTGCCTGCAATCCGAGCTACTCAGGAGGCTGAGGCAGGAGAATTGCTTGAACCTGAGAGGCAGAGGTTGCAGTGGGCCAAGATCATGCCACTGCACTCCAGCTTGGGAACAAGAGCGAAACTATGTCTAAAAAAAAAAAAAAAAATAGCGCTTCATGGCGAGCGTTGGCTGTCATTATTGAGTGCCCGCTCTGTCGAGCATTTGGGAAAGCAGGTACAGTCTGCCTTCAGGTGCCTGCTGCAGTCCAGTGTAGCAAGACACACACTCAAATACCTGTTAGATTGCAGTTTGTTGGGAAGAGGAGGAAAGAAAGGGCCTGGTGGCAGAAGGAACAGCCTGTGCAAAGGTACAAGAAGGGCCAGGTATGTTCAGCGACTGGAGAGAGCTGACATTGGCTGGAATGTGGGTAAAACATGTGAGGGGAACGATGCTGGAGATTGAGATGAGACTTCAAAGGGCCTTGAATGCCTTACCAAGGAGTTTGAAGTCTGTCCTCTGCCGTAAGGAACCTAGAGAATCGGGTGCCTTTAGGTGGACGTGACAGGCTGTTACCGCCTGCAGGAGGCGCTGAGGTCCTGGGCAAAGACAGTGGCAGTGGGGAAGCAGGAAGGCAGCTGTCAAGATGACTTAGTCACATAAAACAGAAGCAGCCGGGCGCGGTGGCTCAAGCCTGTAATCCCAGCACTTTGGGAGGCCGAGGCGGGTGGATCACGAGGTCGAGAGATCGAGACCATCCTGGTCAACATGGTGAAACCCCGTCTCTACTAAAAATACAAAAAATTAGCTGGGCATGGTGGCGTGTGCCTGTAATCCCAGCTACTCAGGAGGCTGAGGCAGGAGAATTGCCTGAACCCAGGAGGCGGAGGTTGCGGTGAGCCGAGATCGCGCCATTGCACTCCAGCCTGGGTAACAAGAGCAAAACTCCGTCTTAAAAAAAAAAAAAAAAAAAAAACAGAAGCAAAGGAGGTAGAGGCACTGAGGCTGGCTGGGTGCTCACTGGGCTAGCCAAGACAGAATGTAGAAGGAGCAGGTTTGGGGGAAATGGGTTTGTGGTTGGACAGGTTGGGTTTTGAGGTACCTGTTAGATATCCAGGATCAGAGCCCGTCAGGCAGCTGCTAAAGCACACTGGAGCCAAAGAGGGGTTCTTCTGTTTCACAGAGGAGAAACTGAGGCTCAGTGAAGGGACATACTATTTGCCCAATGTCCCATTGCTGATTAGTAAAAGAAATTCAGGGCCTGAAGTCTTCTTTCACTTTCCTTTACATAATTCAGCTTCCTTCCAAGGAAGGAGCTGAGAAAGGCTTCCCACGTCTTGGGAATCATCCCTTACTTTAGGCATGTTTTGGGGCCAGCGCTGGGAACCTTGAGCCTAGAAAAAAGAGAGTTAAGGGACCCCAGACCAAGTCGGGGCTAGAGGCTGTGGTCTAAAGAGGTCCTGCTCTGTTGGCAGGATCCAGAACACCTGTTTGAAACCATCTCCCAAGCCATGCTGAATGCCGTGGACCGGGATGCAGTGTCGGGCATGGGAGTCATTGTCCACATCATGTGAGTACGGGCTGGGAGAAGTCAAGCAGCTCTGCAGACACCCTGCCCCTCTTCCTTCTCCACAAGCACACCCCCCACTTTCCAAGCCCCCCCCCACCCCCCGGTCAGGTGTGAGATAAGAAAGGTGCCTGTGGCCGTCCTGGGTGAGCAGAAGTCTATGCCTCCCTATGGCCGGTAGCTGGCAGCCTACCCAGCTTCCCCTGCCCTCTGTCAGGTGAGGCTCTGGGGCCCATGCTCACAAGAGACACTTCTTCCTTAACAGTGTCCCAAAAGTCTCAGGATGTGTTGGGTGAGCCAAAGCAGAGCTCCTGCATATGGATTGAAATTCTAGGGGGCTCCCAGCCTCTCTCCAGCCCAGAGCTGTATGATGTTCTGCGCTCTGGGGACCAATTTCCAAGCCCCAGCCAGGTCTCTACATGCCATCCCCCTTGTCCCCTCACTTCTTTGGGGCCATCACCAGGAACCTGATTGGACAGAGTAGGAAGTGTCCTCCCAGCTGCTTTCCTACATTGCAGGATAAACATTTGGACCCTTTTGGAGGATAGCCTGCTTACTTACCGTGAAAACCAGAATTTACCCCCCAGGATTCTTTTTATCTTCTTTGGGGTGAAACACAGCACACCTTCTCCTTCCTGAGTGGCTCGTTCTCTAGGCCTGGAGGAGCTACTTCCCTTCTTTGGAGAGCGGCATTAGTCCGGCCCCGGATCATTTCCTGGGAAAGCCTCTCCGAGGTGGTTCCACCTGCAGACAGACCGCCCAGGTGTCTGCCCCTGTCCCTCCTTCCTCACCACAGGCGGAGGAGATGAACTAGCAGGAATGAAACTAGAGGCAGTGGGCAGCCATTTGTTCTGCTCCTTTGCCCCAGGGCTTACAGGCTTGGTGCTGAGGGCCGGGTGAGCTAGTCACAGTCACAGTTCAGATGGGTGGAGACGTTTTCTTGTGATTTTCTCCCTCTGCAGTGAGAAGGACAAAATCACCACCAGGACACTGAAGGCCCGAATGGACTAACGCTGTTCCCAGAGCACACACTTTTTTTTTTTTTTTTTTTTTTTGAAATAAAATAGCATGTCTTTCCCTCCTGCTTATCTTTGATGGTTTACCGCAGATCTCTGCCCCAGCTGGGCAGCTACAGCCAGCCACTCGGCATGTGAGGCCTGGCCCTCAGGCTTGCTTTCTGGCTCGAGCTGTACTCCATCCGTGATGCCAGGGGGACAATCCACACGTCATTTGCTGCATGCTCCCTGTGTGCTAGGCCCCACACAAGTGCTTTACACGGTCTAGGATTGATTTATCATGACTCAAGGTAGTTGAGATTATCCTTGTTTGGAGATGAAGGACAGTTAAATAACTTATCCAAGTCCACTTTCATAAGTGGTAGAGCAAGGACATAAACTCATGTTCCATTGACTCTACAGCTTAGAATCCTTTTCACTCAACTCTGCGGGAAAACCCTTGTCCTTTATTGCTTCAGGTGGAAATTTGGCCAAGTAGGTTGGACGAGGTGGCTCATGCTTGTAATCCTAGCAGTTTGGGAGGTGGAGGCAGGCAGATCACCTGAGGTCAGGAGTTCGAGACCAGCCTGACCAACATGGAGAAACCCCTGCCTCTGCTGAAAATACAAAAAATTAGCCGGGTGTGGTGGCGCATGCCTGTAATCACTATTCAGGAGGCTGAGGCAGGAGACTTGCCTGAACCTGGGAGGCGGAGGTGGTGGTGAGCCGAGAGTGTGCCATTGCACTCCAATCTGGGCAACAAGAGCGAAATTCGTCTCAAAAAAAAAAAAAAAAGAAATTTGGCCAAGTACCTATCAGTAGTGTAGATTAATGTTTCTTAACCTAGCCAGTACATTAGGCAACTGTGAACTCCTGAAACACGTGCCTTGATCCCACCCCTTGAGATTCTGATTTAACTGGCCTTTTAGGAGCCTGGGTACCTGTCTTTCCTAAAATTCCCCAAACGACTCCAGCCTTCAACCTGCAACAGATAGATGGCCTAATAAGCAAGTAGAACGTTTGCATAGCAGAGTGGTTCCCAAACGTTAGCCCCCATCGGAATCACCTGGAGGGCTCATTAAGTTTGACTCAGCAGATCTGGATTGGGACCTGAGAATTTACATTTCTGACTCCCAGGTGCTAATGATACTGCTGGTCCAAGGCCACCCTTTGAGAACCACTGGGTTTTAAGCTAAGTGCCCAGATGGAGTAGATGAGGTGCACAGAGGTGACAGGTTCAAAATTAGGTCAGGTGAGTGGCTCCTAGCCAGCGTTCATTCTGCACAGCTGGAGGAGGGTGGTTTGTCCATTCTTCCATATGTTTTTTCCTTCAGAGCTTCACTGTTGCCTGGGCTGGAGTGCTGTGGTGCAATCATGGCTTACTGCAGCCTCAACCTCCCAAGCTTAAGTGGTTCTCCTGCCTCCGCCTCCTGAGTAGGCTGGGATTATAGACATGTGCCATCATACCTGGCTACTTCTTATTTTGTAGAGATGGGGTCTCACTATGTTACCCAGACTGGTCCCGAAGTGATTCTCCTGCCTCAGCCTCCCAAAGTGCTGGGCATGAGCCACCACACCCAGCCAGTGGTACTGTGCGTGTCACCACTGCTTATTAACTGCATCTGAAAGTGCGATGTCACTGACCATATTCTTTCTCCAAACTGAAGCCATACATTGATTTAGCCAAAGCTGCCTCTAAAGCTAGGACCAAAACGTTTTAATTCTGGAAAGAAAAAAAAAAAAAAAGGTTCATTTTCCAAGGACTCACACGTAACAGATGTACACAAAGCTTTTTGAGTTTTATTTTTTTCCTCAGGTTGGAGATTCATCTTAACATGCATGCATTTGAAAACAGGAACAGGGTCTCGAACTGTTTAAAGCAGACATTAGACAAGCACGGGATTGAAAATTCCTAAAAATGGAAACTGCAGTGGGATATCAAGAAGTCACACACTTGGTGGGGTGGTAGTTTGTCCTGCTTCCACAAAAGGCGGATCTGTACTTCATTCACATTTTAATTTCAATGATCTGACCTAATGCTGGGGTGTGCTGAGCAGCACTGGGCCCCTCCCCCTACCACCTCACAAAGTGGCTCTGAGCAAGGGCAAGAGGCTCCTGTGGAAGCTTCTGCCCTGGGATCCTGGCACAAGCTGCTGAAGGATAGCTGAGTCTCCTCTTCCCCACGGGGGACTCTTCATAAGGGGCACATTCCAGAGGAGGGAGAGGGCCACGTCACTGCCCCCTGCAGATGGCTGGTAGATTGGGGGACAGTTGTCTGAATGGTTTCCCTTTCAGGACCCTCTGCCTACAAGACTGCCAGGAAGAGATGAGGCTCCTAGACTTGGGGGGGTGCCCACAGGTTTAAGGCCAGAGCTCTGAGGGTTGTTTAAATGTACTGTCCCTTCTGGCCCCCAACACCTGAGTAACTCACATGCTGGGGTGCTGCTGTTTTCTCTTCTACCCTGAATTGGTGAAAAGTCAACTGGGGGTAGGACTGGCTACTGAGAAAAGTCCTGGGTCTGTCGTCCACCTCCCCAGGGCAGGCCCTGGCAAACCGTGAAGATAAATAGGAAAGGCAGGGCAGGAGTCAGCCTCACACCCTGAGCGCTGCCAGCAGGCCTGCTGGAGGCCGAAAGCACGGGCAAGAGAAAAGAGTGAAGTAGGGAGAGGGGATGAAGAACTGCCACTGAGAACAGCCACAGGGGCCACTAGTGGCACCTGCCACAGACCAGCAACCCCTGAGCTAGAAGACGAGAGGTGGAGCACTGCTTCAGTCTGCGCCCCTGAACTGGGGCTTCCTGGCATGCCTGTGACCCCAAGCCGCAGAGGACAGGAAAGGAGCTTGTGCTGGGGGACACAAAGACCCAGTGGTTAATTAACAGGAACCAGGGCCAGGGACCTTCATCTAGAGGTCAGTGGAGTCTCCAGGGCAGTCATCACTGTGGCTGGGAGACGACAGTGTCTTGGCTGTGGGCTTGTGGAAGAAGAGGGGTAGGGATGGGAGACGGGGTGACTGGATGCCAGCCAGGAATCCTGGCCTCACCCAATCAGCCATGTCCTTATTCTTACACCTTTCTTCTTGGGAGACCCAAAATTATTCTGAGATGCCATGGCCCCAGTGAGTGACGCTGAGGGCAGTCACTTCCCCTCCAATGCCTTCGACTGCCCAGAAAAAGAATGGCGGGACCCGAGGAGGAAAGAGTGGGGCAGACAATGCGTGGGGGTCAGTCCACTGTCTCCACATTCAAACTGCAGACCACGTAGAATATCATGACAAAAAGAAGAGAAAGGAAACGTGTATAAACCAAGATAAATAGCTTTTAAACATTTGAATGCCAAAGGAATTAGGGGCCAAACCCAAGGTTTTCAAGATAGCACAGCGAATGACCCTTAAGAAAAAATTGAAAATCCACCAAACCACAGCTTAAAATGTTGTGACCCAATCAACAATACTGTCAGAAAAACAAAAAGCATTTGAAACAGAATGCTACCTCTCAAAATGTAAACAATATACAAAACACACACACACACACACTCTCACTCTCACTCTCTCTCTCTCTCAATGTTAAACAAGTTAGATACCTGGTAGTCGTCTTGAACCAGTAAGATCGTGTTACACTTTCCGTACATTATGGCAACATGATCAGCAGACCAAATGCAGAGAAGCCGGTGGGAGCCCAAGGCCGTGGAGGCTGCTAGCAGACAACTTTCCAAGCTTCAGGGATGCTGGGCCTGACTAGGAGCAGATCCAAACTTCCATTCTTCATTATGAAGTGGGGAAATCAAGTCCAACATTATTCCTAAGTAATCCCTTTCCCAAGTCCAATTTGCTTTCTCCACGAGTGGGTTGGTTTCAAGTTTCCTAAGTCACTTAGTGGTCTTGCAGCAGTTGTTCAGACCTACCTATGGCCCCTTCCTGGGGCCAGGGCAGTGATTTTGACCCCCACCTGCCTCTTCCAGAAGGGTTCCCACCCAATCCAGCAGCCCCAGTGAAGTCCAAGAAGGCTGTGTCTCCATCCTTTTCCTGACCTGTGTGCTGTGAGTCAGGCGTAGAGACAGTGCTGGTTCCTGCTTCAGAAGCTGAGCTTGGCCAGGTTTGGAGGGAGCCACAGGAAACCAATCTATTCATTCAAAACGGTTTCACACACGATCTTCACATCTTTGGGGTTATATACAAGTTTGACCACATCTCATCCCAAATCCCCAGTTCCTGGTTGAGGGTGAGAAGACGCAGGAATGTGCCTCCCCAAGCGCAGAGCAACGGGGCTGTTTTCTCTCTTGGCCGGACCAGTCTGCGGCTTGTGGCTCAGTTCTAAGGACCTGGGTGGCAGGCTCTGAAGGTGGGTGGAACACCTGCAGGAAGCCGCTCCTTCCAAGAAAGCCTGTGCTAAAAGCCTAGAGGGGGCAACAAGGAAGAACAGCCCCAAGGCTGAGGCCAGGTCAAACCCCACATCAAGCCTCCGAACTGGATTTCCTGGATCACATCCTTGTGTAACTCTAAGATGGGGGCACCTTGCTGGTGCTGACGAGGTGTCTCTGCAAAAGAGCACTCCAGGCGCTTGGAGATCTGCCCAGAGCTAAGAGCTCAGCTAGAAGTGAGAGTGCCTGGGAGGTCCGAAGGAGGAAGGAAACGGAGGGCACAGGACCTCATTTGATACATCAGGTTCTGAGGTTTTCCCAAAGGGAAATAAGCATTTAAACATGAGGGTCCTGATAAATCCAAAGGTACTCGTGTTCCTCTTAACCTAGTGGGAGGCAGGCTTTACAGAGAACACTCCTGAACTCCAGGGGCTGAGAGCCTGGGGCTTGGGCGATCATCACAGGGTTCTCTGAGAACCAGCTGTCTGAGAACCCAGCCACTCTCCTGCCCCTCACCATCCCGTGAGGAGGAACTCACTCCCCTCTGAGATCTTTGATTGTGACCCGAGATGCCTGGTGTTGCCTTGGTGTGCTCCGGACAGGATGGAGGACTAATGGAACATTTCACTTGAATCCAAGGTGGAAAGGTGGAGGAAGTTCACAATACTCCATCAAATTACAAAGTTCATCCAGACCAGACCAAATGCAGCAGGGCCAGGTGTCTGACCTCTCCAATCTGGCATCAGAGCACTTGGTTCTGAAAGGACCCTTGTGTGGGGTCTACTGGGTATCTCTTTAATTGAAGGGAACTGAGAGCTGGGCAGGGAGGGGGAGGGTGGGGAGGGTGATGAAATACACGATGATAAGTAGCAAACCTGGAGCAATGACATTTCAGAAACAAAACCCAAATAAACCCACAGTCATCTCTAGCCCCAAGGTAGCTTCAAAGGTTATAAGGTACCAAAAAGGGAACCCCTTTTTAACTGGGTGTCGAATCGGGGGGGAAAAAAAAACCAAGGGTAAGCAGAAGGCGGGGTTACATCCTGTGCGTAGTTGCACACACAGCACATCCCCCTCCTCTTCAGCTGAAGTCTTTTTCGGTGTCACGGGCTGCAGTCTCATTGCTCAAGCCCTCCCGAACCCCCACTTTGCTCCCACCCTCCCATCTAGCCCAAATACACCCTTCTCCCTAACTCCCAATCCCCAAGCCCATATCCAGCTCTCTGGCTCTGGCTGAAAGAAGATAACTATGTCAGGATGTTGGACATAAACTCGTTGAAGCGTTTGGAGTACTGCTCAGGGTTCACAGTCGAGATCTCCGCCCCTGCCTGTAATACACAAGAGGCTGATTCAGGTTGGGTTCCTCCACCCCAATCAGGAGGCTGCACCTGGGAGAAGCCTGGGTATTTAGAAGCCTGTTACTCAGTATCAGAGCTGAAAACCACCCCCCCCCAACACCCCAAGACTGAGCAGATCACCTCAGGAAGTGGCTCACAAGCTCCAAACTGTCCTGACCTCACACCTGTGATTTATTATTATGATTTTTCCTTTACTCCTGTGATTTATAACCCCAGGCCTGCACTGAAGTAGAAGAAAGGCAGTGGGGAGGTGGCAGGGAGGCTCTGGATGTCTGCGGGGGCCACTGCATGGAGAACAGGGCTTCAGGCCCACGGGGAAACAGGCCCACAGGGAGCAGTCTGGCCATGGAAACAAAGCTCTTACTGGCCCTTCAGCAAGATGCACAGCAGGCCCGGCAGGCCCTGGGGAAAGACACTGGCGGGCTTGGCCCCGAGGGCTGGAGAACGGGGGGACACATCAGTTGGGGCCAGCCTGGCAGGGAGTGGGTGGGTGAGGGCAGTCAGGCTGTTCTTCCAGTCTGCTGTCCTGGGAAGAAGGGGGCAGGTGTGTGTTCCTTGGCACAGGAGGCCTGAGACTGCCCTCCCTGGGAACTGAGGGTGAGCGCAGACGCACCAACTCAGCTGGGCCCTGGGTGAAGATGGAGAGGACTCACCCCGTGTTTCACCGTTTTGGCAGCATGTGCAGCTTTCTTCTTCGTGTCGTATGGCGTGAGGATATCGATGATGGCCATGAAATACACCTCCTTCTTGGGGGAACCTGGAGGGACATGGGGAGCAGGGAAGGAGGAAGAGGGTGCAGGAGAAGGGCAGAAAGCAGCTGGGCACTGTTACGAAGGCTCAGCTCCAGCCCTATCATGCTGGGGCTGAGAAAAGGACGAGTGGGGTCCTTCCCAGCTTTCACAGCTCTTAGCTTACTGGATCTTCACAGTCACCCAGTGGGGCTGACGGGACAGTATGAATAAAGTTTGGCTCATCGCATGAACCAGAGCAGAACCATTCCTCAGTCAGCCGGGACAAGCAGGGAAGCAGAAGAAAGCCTGGCAGAGAAGGAGCTCCAGGGCCCCAGGTTTGGGTAGTGACCCTATAGCGGAGTCTAGAGGCAGAAAGAGGCCAAAGGCAGCAAGGAATGAGGTGGAGGGCCAGACGCCTTGCAGAAAGATCTAAGCAACTAGCCAAGGGGTAGGATGAGCCAGGGCTGCGCAGGGCAGGCACGGGCTCTCACTTACTTTCGTGGCTTTTCATGGCATAGACATCAACTGAGGGGTCGAATTCCCCAGGACCAAAGAACCGAGGAAAGCTGAGGAGGTTGCCAGGGCTGTCCGGAGGTGTGCCATAGGAGCACAGCAGGTTGCCGCCCACCCCGTCATTCTCACACTCCTCGTCCTCTGCCCGCTCCTCCACCTCCATCTCCTCCTGCTCCGCCCGGTCCACGTCATGGATGCCCACCAGCAGGCTGTAGTCCATGATCTTCAGCTGCGCTAAGAACTAGGAAGGCCAAGGACGGAAAGATGGAAGGAAGAGGTTACACAGGACATCTCAGTGGCATCTGGAAAGGGGGAAGAGGCATTCCTTTCAAGTCAATTCTACAAACGGCTCTGAAATTCAACAGAGCATAAGGCATCAGAGCACCTGCCCTCGGCGGTCTCTCTAAGTCTAATGGGGAAAACAGTCGTTCAGCAGGGGAAAGGCAGGCAGGATGTGGAGACTGCAGTGAGCTGTGATCACACCACTGCACTCCAGCTGGGCGACAGAGCAAGACTGTCTCAAAAAAAGAAAATGGGCAAGGAGCTGTGGGAGTCTACAGCAAAGGGTGAACAGGACCTTCCCTGAGGAAAGGAGTTAAGGCCCCAGGTGAAGGATCAAGAGGAGAAGTCAGTGAGGCAAGGGCTGCAGGACTAAAGCAGAAGGAGCTGCAGGAAGGGGGCGTGGCTCTCCTGGGATCATGAGAGGCCATGGTGGCTGGGTGTGGCTGCCCAGGACGTAGGTTATCCCTCTGTCCAGCGTATCCACGCTGTATACGCTAACGTCACATTAGTCTTTCAGTAGCTGTCTTGGTTATCAGTTTACTGCAGTTGAATCACAATGCTTATAGTCAAGTAACCCATATTTGACTTCATCATGACCCCAAAGAGTAAGAGTAGTAATGTTGGCAATTCAGATATGCTAAAGACAAGCCATAAAGTGCTTTCTTTTTCTGAGACAGAGTCTCGCTCTGTCACTCAGGCTAGAGTGCACTGATGTAATCTCGGCCCACTGCAACCTCCACCTCCCAGGTTCAAGTGATTCTGCTGCCTCAGCCTCCCAAGTGGCTGGGACTACAAGGGTACACCACCACACCCGGCTAATTTTTGTATTTTTAGCACACATGGGGTTTCATTATGTTGGCCAGGCTGGTTTCGAGCTCCTGACCTCGCGATCCTCCCGCCTCAGCCTCCCAAAGTGCTAGGATTACCGGTGTGAGCCACTGTCCCTGGCCAGCTTTAAGTGAAAAGGTGAAAGCTCTTAACTAAAAAAGAAAATAGAGCCGGGCGTGGTGGCTCAAGCCTGTAATCCCAGCACTTTGGGAGGCTGAGGCGGGTGGATCACGAGGTTGAGAGATCAAGACCATCCTGGTCAACATGGTGAAACCCCGTCTCTACTAAAAATACAAAAAAAAAATTAGCTGGGCATGGTGGCGCGTGCCTGTAGTCCCAGCTACTCAGGAGGCTGAGGCAGGAGAATTGCCTGAACCCAGGAGGCAGAGGTTGCAGTGAGCCGAGATCGCGCCATTGCACTCCAGCCTGGGCAACAAGAGCGAAACTCCATCTTAAAAAAAAAAAAAAAAAAAAAAGAAAATAGTCTGGGTGCGGTGGCTCACGCCTGTAATCCCAGCACTTTGGGAGGCCGAGGCAGAAGGATCGCGAGGTCAAGAGATCGAGACCATCCTGGTGAACATGGTGAAACCCCGTCTCTACTAAAAATACAAAAAATCAGCTGGGCATGGTGGCACGTGCCTGTAATCCCAGCTACTTAGGAGGCTGAGGCAGGAGACTTGCCTGAACCTAGGAGGCGGAGGTTGCAGTGAGCCGAGATTGCGCCATTGCACTCCAGCCTGGGTAACGAGAGCAAAACTCCGTCTCAAAAAAAAAAAAAAAGAAAAGAAAAGAAAGAAAAGAAATTGCATGCTGAGGTTGCTAAGATCTCCTGTAAACAAATCTTCTCTCTGTGAAATTGTGAAGAAGGAAAAAAGACTCATGCACAGTATATACGTAGGGTTCAGTACTATCTGTGGCTTCAGGCATCCACTGGGGATCTTGGAATGTGTCCCCCTGATAAGAAGGGACTATTGTATGATAAAATAGAATAGAAAATATCAGAATCATGACAGAAAGTAAGGATAGACAGTTTCAGTTGTGTGTATTCACTGGGTTGCAAGGTAAAATAGACTTCTAACTAGACTCAGAGACAAAGTCTGTAAAAACTATGTCATCAACGTATCAGTCCAGGTAAAAATAGAAAAAAAGGAAAAGAGAATACAACACCACAAAAGAATGGCAGTCAGAACCAACCTACGTTCTCAACACATTCCCTAAAGGTCAAAAGAGGCTGTGTGGTGCTGGGGCAAGTTCTGGGGCCCTCCCCTGGTATCATGTGACTCCTCTTGCCAAGCCTCAGTTTCCTCATCTGTATAATGGGTGCTGTGAGCAGGATGGTGGCTCAACTCTTTTATCTAGGATTTTATGACTTGGAGAAGAACAAAATATGGACGGACACGGGATGGAAATGGCCAGCTGGCATTCCAGTTTAGCTAATAATGAGGCAAGTGTCCAGTCACCATCACAAAGCAGTCACTAGGAGACTGCTAGACTGACCACCGTTTATTGGGCCCTAACAGTGAGAGGACTAGGAGGAAAATCATTATAGGAGCAGAAAGGCTCGATGCATGGGCCCAGAACACAGCCAAAAGCACAAGGAGCCCTAACAATGGGAGCCCAGCAGGATCTCCTTGGAAGAGGAAGAATGGGAGGGACGCCACTCTGAGCACTTCCTGGCTAATTTTTATTTTTATTTTTTATTTTTTGAGACGGAGTTTCACTCTTGTTACTCAGGCTGGAGTGCAATGGCGCGATCTCGGCTCACCGCAACCTCCACCTCCTGGGTTCAGGCAAGTCTCCTGCCTCAGCCTCCTGAGTAGCTGGGATTACAGGCACGCACCACCATGCCCAGCTAACTTTTTGTATTTTTAGTAGAGACGGGGTTTCACGACGTTCACCAGGATGGTCTCGATCTCTTGACCTCATGATCCACCCGCCTCGGCCTCCCAAAGTGCTGGGATTACAGGCGTGAGCCGCTGTGCCCGGCCGATTCTTTTTATTTTTAGTAGAGGTGAGGTCTCGTGATGTTGCCTAGGCTGGTATTGAACTGCTGAGCTCAAGCAATCCTCCCACCTCAGCCTCCCAAAATGCTGGGACTGCAGGATCTTAATAGCTGGGTTCCTACAGCTCTGATGGCCAGAGACCTTCTCCATTGTACGGACAACAGCAGAAGGGAGTCTGAAAAAGGTGTTGGAATGAATTAGCAAAAAGCATTCTGAAGTGAATCACAAGCGTTCTATTGGCGCCAACGATGCTCCGTCAGATGGAATGGTCATTTGCACTTGCTTTAGGTGCCCGGCAGTGCCCATGCTGCCTCTCCTTTTGTCTATATTCCAGGAAAGTCGTGAATTCCATTTTTCTTAAGGTTGAAGAGGCTCCCAGTCTAGGTACAGAAGGAGCCCTGCAGGTGAAGATGAAGGTCAGTAAGTACCTCAACATCCCGCTTCAGCTTCTCCAGGAAGTTCTTTTTGCTCTCCTCTCCCACGTGCAGCTTCTGCCCTTCATTGAGGAAGTCATTGTCTTTGAATGTTGGCAAGTCCTTGGCCTAGGAGAGCAACAGCAGTTAGGCTGGGTAAGCCTTATTCATCCACCCCAGGGACACCCCACTGTTCTGCTGGGAGCAACCATACAGAAAGGGGAGGGGTCCTCAGTGTAGACAACCTACTAAATCAACAGTGCAGGAGCCTCTAGTCTGAGGCTTTGGGCAGGCAGGGAGGGCAAATACACGGCAAACACATGAAAGACGAGGACCGACTAAACGATTCTTTCCTGTTGAGCCTGGACCAGCTCAGGGCTCAGGCAGCCACTCACTGACTTAGGCTGGACTACGAGTTGGGAATGTCTCCCATCCCAGGAGGACTATGAAGAACCTAGTGATGGCAGAGGTAAAAGACTAGAGACCAAGGTCTAGGCCTAGCACAAGGACAGGCAAGTGACCAGTGACACAGAGCATTTCATGTTGACAGATGGCATGTCTGGGAGCTGGGCTAGGGGCTACGATGGGCGACGGACAGGATGGCCGACAGGAGTCGTTTCTGACTCCAAGCGACCCTTCCACTCCTGCTCAGCACCAGCATACCTTCTCCTTGTCGCTTGCTTCTCTGGCAACCGTAGAACCCTGAAAGAGTAAGAGCCATCAGGGGAAGTCCAGCTGAGGCAAAGTCGACTGCATCAGCAAACATGAGAGAGCCAGCAGGTGAACTCAGTAGACTGGTTAGAGTCCTAGAGGGCCAGGAGGCGGCACCTTCTTCATCTAGTCTGCGTCAAGCCCACTTACAGAGCTCGATGTACAAGACACTTGTTAGGTGCTCAGCAAACAGGACTGCACTAGAGACGTTCAGTCCCTGCCCTTAACAGGGGAGACAGATCAGCAGTGGGTCCACAGTCATTAGTTCACTTACGATCACGGGGCTCAGTGTTATAGGGAGGAGACAGGACACTCTGAAAGCACATACCACAGGGGCCGGGCCTGGACAGGGGAGGGACGGTGGCCAGAGCCTACCTACTTCCTCGAAGTAGTATTTGAGCTGAGCTTAGAAGGGCAAGAAGGAAGCAGTTAGGTGGGGGAAGGAGGAGGTGGAGAGAGGGAAGGAGCAGATGTGAAATCCTGGGAGGAGGAGGAGCGCTGCAGCAACACAGAGGAAACCAGTGCAGCTGCGGCACAGACGGAAGGGATGGCGGCGCAAGGTGACAGAAGTCAGAAGCCAGGACCAAGAACAAGGGGCGCCCTGATTCTCAGCCACAAATGTGGCCTTCTCAGTGTCCGGAGACGCGCTTGCGCTGTCAGTCCACGGGGCCCTGATGGATGCCAGAGTGTTTGTGTTAGCACAGCCTGTCCCCATTCTGCTGCCCTCGCTGTGCACATTCCACAGACAGGAACATCGACTGTTGCAGAAATACGGCACGTTTAGGGCTTAAATCATCTCCTGTTACTGTCACCTGGATTTCAAACAGCCTTTGGTCCACAAGCATATCCACTTCAGAGTTCCCTGTCTGCTAACGACATTACCAGCTGTCCCAGTTACATGGAAGTTGGTGTTAGTGGCCAACTTCAGACAGAGGGGAGGCACAGCTCTGGCCAACACAGAGCCCTTTACCTTGAGGTCATACTTGCGATGCACAGTGAGCCGATGGCTGAACACGTTCCTGGTAACCACCATGTAGGTTTCCACACCATCCACGGTCAGGCGGTACATGCCCAGGAACTGTGGCAAAAGAGTGTTGCCATGACACTCCACTATAAACTAGGATGGAAAGGAAGAAGAGAAAGAAGACTAAGCAACAGGCAGGTGCCAGGGACGGACAGGGCTCTCCCCAGACTAAAATGCTCCCTGGCTCCCTGGGATTCTAACCTCTAGACCGGTCATTCTCCAGTTGGGTCCTATGAAGTAATAGGGGTTTCTCAGGCTTAAAAACAGGCAACAGCCACCTCCAGCCTCCTGTTGGCATGGCAGAGGGAGAGGCGGTCTGAGCAGGTGGCTCACAGCCCCTGGGGGTTCATGTTATTAGAATCTTACCTAAGATTTTGTTTAAAATAGGATTTTACCACAGGAAAATCCCTGATCCACACCTTGCATCTCCTCTGCCAGCCTGCTATGGGAAAGCCACAGGGAAGAGAAAGGGTGCAGAGGCAGGTCAGCGATCCAGCCATCTGGGAGAAGAGAACGGCTCCATACCCAAACTCTTATCCATGCCATGCCCTGGGGTTTCTGCCGTAACTCCCGAAAGACCAGAAATTCCCTTCAGCCCTTCTCAGGTGCCCCAGAAATGAAGACCCAAGCAGGCTCAGGACAGACACACAGATGGTGCCACGGGGCTCCCTGCCTTCCTCATGGACAGGTTCCAGATGAGTGGAGATGGGACAGGAAAAGAAACAAGCCTGCTGAGCCAATGGGGCCTCTTTCAGAAGAAACGGGGCAGATGCCAGAGCGTGAACACTTTCCAGCTGAGCCTCGTCACTGATGTGCCTTCACAGCTCCTGTTTTCTTTTCTAAAGTAGGCATTTCAGCTCACAGAAATGTGGCTGCGGGAGAGTCCTGCTGCTTGGTAATCAGGAAGTAGCCACCATTACCAAAGAGGACGAATCCTTCCCTAAGAAGCTCCCCTGGGGCTCCCTTCTCCCTCTTCCAACCCATCCTCTGCAGCCCAGGCTTGGGACTCACCGTACCTGGTGGTATTTCTTTAAGATGTTGTGCATCTCTGCCACGTCCTCACTGGACACAGTCTTGATGACAAAGCGCCGGTCGTAGGTGGTGAGGAAACGCGTGCCACACCGGCCCTGGCTGTCACTGTTGATGGGGGCGCTGCGCGTCACCGAATTCTGATAATCGAGACAAAAGCAGGCTGGGCTTGGCAGGGAACAGGATTTGACTTTCACTGAGTCTTCCCTCAGGGGCTGGACTGCTTGAAAGCCAACAACACTGAGATAGAGGGACTCCCAGATGGGAGCTTACCACCCCTTTTCTCACGGTGTTTTCACATCCCTCCCCAAGTCTTCCTTCAAAGTGACAAGAATTGTTCCTTACCACCCGCCCTTCATCCCAGTCTAGGATGGGAAGAGAAATGACTGTAAAAGTTTCCATCCTGATCCCAGAGAGCTACCCTACCAACTAAAATCCTGCCTCTGATGGAGGGGGCTGACTCTAATGTGGACCCTCACATGCACTATGACCTTGGGTGAGCCATTTCACTTCTCTACCCTGCATTTCCTCATTGGGAACACAAACAGGCGGACTGAGCTGATTCTCCCAGGCTGTTGGGGCTGGCAAAGACGAAGCCTGGGAAATACTGTTTTCAGGAGGTCTAACACAAAGAAGCAATGCGCGGTCGTCGCTTGTCCCTGCATCTACCCTAGTGCCGAAAAACCTTCCCCAAAGCAGGAAGCTGGTCTTTATCTCTGACACCTTTCCCCTCACCTCAACCTCCTGCTTGTCTATGCAGGGCTGGGAGGCAGTTCTGGGGAGCTTTCCTGGCTATATCCCTGCTCCTCCTCAAGGCCCTACTCCCAATAGGATCAGAGAGCAGTAGAAGCCTCAAGAGGGAGGGTGGGGAAAGGCGTGAGTCAACCAAAGGGACATGTTCACCAAGCAGACACCAACGGACCTTTGGGAGGCAAGGCTGAGGGGAGAGCCCAGGTGTCCCTGTTCCCAAAAAAAACACACGTGAGGATCATGTCACAGAATTGCCTCCTCTCCAAGCCCTTTCCCCATCTCTTAATGAGGATCCTGTTATTATTATTACTATTTTTGTAAAGATAGGGTCTCACTCTGTCACTCAAGCTGGAGTACAGTGGTGCAATCTCAGCTCACTACAACCTCTACCTCCTGGGCTCAAGTGATCCTCCCGCCTCAGTCTACCAAGTAGCTGGGACTACAGGTGCCACCACCAAGCCTGGCTGATTTTTGTAGTTTTTGCAGAGATCGGGTTTTGTCATGTTGCTCAGACTGGTCTAGAACTCCTGAGCTCAAGTAATACTACTGCCTCAGCCTCCCAAAATACTAGACTTATAGGTGTGAGCCCCCACACCTAGGCTTTTTTTTTTTTAATTTTATTTTTTTGAGACAGTGTCTGTCACCAGGCGCCAGGCTGGAGTGCAATGGCACGATCTCCGGCTCACTGCAACCTCCGCCTCCCTGGTTCAAGAAATTCTCCTGCCGGGCGCGGTGGCTCAAGCCTGTAATCCCAGCACTTTGGGAGGCCGAGGCGGGTGGATCACGAGGTCGAGAGATCGAGACCATCCTGGTCAACATGGTGAAACCCCGTCTCTACTAAAAGTGCAAAAAATTAGCTGGGCATGGTGGCACGTGCCTGTAATCCCAGCTACTCAGGAGGCTGAGGCAGGAGAATTGCCTGAGCCCAGGAGGCGGAGGTTGCGGTGAGCCGAGATAGCGCCATTGCACTCCAGCCTGGGTAACAAGGGTGAAACTCCGTCTCAAAAAAAAAAAAAAAAGAAATTCTCCTGCCTCAGCCTCCTGAGTAGCTGGGACTACAGGGGCGCGCCACCATGCCCAGCTAATTTTTGTACTTTTAGTAGAGACGGGGTTTCACCATGCTGGCCTGGATAGTCTCGATCTCTTGACCTCGTGACCCCACCTCGGCTTCCCAAAGTGCTGGGATTACAGGTGTGAGCCACCGCGCCCAGCCTTTTTTTTTTTTCTCTTTTTTTTTTTTTTTTTTTTTTTGAGAAGGAGTTTCACCCTTGTTACCCAGGCTGGAGTGCAATGGCGCTATCTCGGCTCACCGCAACCTCCGCCTCCTGGGTTCAGGCAATTCTCCTGCCTCAGCCTCCTGAGGAGCTGGGATTACAGGCACGTGCCACCATGCCCAGCTAATTTTTTGTATTTTTAGTAGAGACGGGGTTTCACCATGTTGACCAGGTTGGTCTCGATCTCTCGACCTTGTGATCCACCCGCCTCGGCCTCCCAAAGTGCTGGGACTACAGGCTTGAGCCACCGCGCCCGGCTTTTTTTTTTTCTCTTAAGGATGGTGTTTTGCTGTCACCCAAACTGGAGTGCGGTGGCGCAATCATAGCCCACTGCAGCCTTTAACTCCTGGACAAAAGGAATCCTCCCGCCTCAGCCTCCTGAGTAGCTGGGACTACAGCCATGCACCACCATGCCCAGCTGATTAGGATCCTACTCTTGACTTTCTCCTAATGCCTCCTCACAAAACCCTGGTGGAGGAGTAGGGGAAACTAAAGTCAGGGGTGGCAAGCCGCTCTGGGAGTTCCTCAGCAAAGGTGCTAAGGTAGCACCCCTCAAAACAGGGTGTTCCCATTGCAGAAATGTTGAGTAGACTCTGTGGCCGAGTGCCCCTTCCTCCCAGCCCGGCCTTTCTACCAGTAAGACTTAAAAGCTGCAACCCTAGTTGGGAGGTAGAGGCAGCATCCCCTGACTCTCTCAGGGGCTGGCAGGCCAACACCAGAGGGTTCCCTCCCTGAGCAACATCCTCCCGGCCCTCATTTCCGTCATGAGCACAGGAATGCACCCACAAGGCTATTAGGGGCAAAATGCAGACACTGAGAGGATGTAATTAGACAACCCAGGAGACAGCCCTAGTCAGGGGAACCCCTCACTAGGAATCCCTCACCAAGGAACAACGGAAGGAAGATGTAAGAGCAACTTGGGGTTCCAACAGTGGCAAGAAGCTTCCAGAAAACCTCCAGCCCCAGTCATGATTAAGTTCAGGGTTCAATCCTAACAAGGGGCTGAAGGAGCCTCCCCGTACCTTTTAGGTCGGGTATTCCTGGGCAATCAAGCCCCAGGAATCTCCCCCTCCTCTCACGGTCCCTCACTCGCCTCATCAGGATACTTTTCTCTGCATGCAAGCCATCCAGAAGGGAGGCGAGAGGGGAGGAGACTCTAACCCAAGGCCCATTCTGCTGCTGTGAACTACTCTGTGAAGGGGTGGGGTGGCAAGAACTACAGTGCTAGCAAAGATTTGGGCACCCATGCTAGGTTTCACTGTGCTATACACTAGGGTTCACTGTGCTATGGGGCAAAGAGTTTTCCCCATAGACAAATGAAAGTCAGCGATGTTTCAGGTCGGGCACGGTGGCTCACACCTGTAATCCCAGCACTTTGGGAAGCCAAGGTGGGCAGATCACAAGGTCAGGAGTTCAAGACCAGCCTGGCCAACATATTGAAACTTCGTCTCTATTTTTAAAAAATACAAAAAATTAACTGGGCATGGTGGCAGACACCTATAATCCCAGCACTTTGGGAGGCTGAGGCAGGAGAATCACTTGAACCCGGGAGGCGGAGATTGCAGTGAGCTGAGATTGTGCCATTGCACTCCAGCCTGGGCAACAAGAGTGAAACTGTCTAAAAAGAAAAAAGAAAAGAAAAGAGAAGAAAATCAGCTAGATTTCCTACAGCTATAAAGGTGAAGTGGAAAATTCGCCCACCTTCACCACAAGGCTGTCTGCCAGGGAAGAGGATCCAAGGAGACATGCTAAGTGGAGAAGGGGCAGAAACCATGAACTATGAGTCACTCTAATGTCCGTGGCACTGGGATTGATTCCTCCCAAGAGGCCAATGGCCTCTATGATGCTGTCACTCACTGGCATGCAAACTTCCCCCCCACCACCAGGATAGGGCACAAGTTTAGGAGGTGACGGTCATACCTGGCAAGAGGTTACACTACCCTTAAAGGCTTCCTTTTCTAATCTGTTTTCTCTGCTTTAAGAGGCCTCATTTCTTGCTGACAACAATTCTTTCTTTTTTTTTTCTTTGAGATGGAATCTCACTCTTGTCATCCAGGCTGCAGTGCAGTGGCACAATCTCAGCTCACTGCAACCTCCACCTCCTGGGTTCAAGTGATTCTCCTGCCTCAGCCTCCCGAGTAGCTAGGATTATAGGCACGGGCCACCACGCCCAGATAATTTTTTGAATTTTTTAGTAGAGATATGGTTTCACTGTGTTAGCCAGGATGGTCTCAATCTCCTGACCTCATGATCCATCCACCCCAGCCCACCAAAGTGCTGAGATTACAGGCGTGAGCCACTGCATTGGGCTTTTTTTTTTTTTTTGAGACTGAGTTTTGCTCTTGTCATCCAGGCTGGAGTGCAATGGCGCAATCTCAGCTCACTACAACCTCTGCCTCCCAGATTCAAGCAATTCTCCTGCTTCAGCCTCCCAAGTAGCTGGGATTACAAGTGCATATCACCATGCCTAGCTAATTTTGTATTTTTAGTAGAGACAGGTTTTCACCATGTTGGCCATGCTGGTCTCAAACTCCTGACCTCAGGTGATCCACCCATCTTGGCCTCCCAAAGTGCTGGGATTACAGGCGTGAGCCACCACACCCAGCCCAATTCTCTCTCTTTGAAGTCAAACTACAGAGGGGAAGGATTCTTCAGCCTAGACTGGAAATGTCAGACTAAAATGAAAGTGCGTCTGTAGCCCCCCTCTCTCCTACTGCTCTCCCTCCCAAGGAGAGAAACCTGAGCCTGTTTGGCATCCTCAGAAGCACTTCTTTTTTTTTTTTTTTGAGACGGAGTTTCGCTCTCGTTACCCAGGCTGGAGTGCAGTGGCGCGATCTCGGCTCACCGCAACCTCCGTCTCCTGGGTTCAGGCAATTCTCCTGCCTCAGCCTCCTGAGTAGCTGGAATTACAGGCACGCGCCACCATGCCCAGCTAATTTTTTGTATTTTTAGTAGAGACGGGGTTTCACCGTGTTGACCAGGACGGTCTCGATCTCTTGACCTCGTGATCCACCCGCCTCGGCCTCCCAAAGTGCTGGGATTACAGGCTTGAGCCACCGCGCCTGGCCCCTCAGAAGCACTTCTAAGGCCCTTGCCCTCCAAGGGGACCCCAGTGCCAGGGGAGAGACTGACTGGGCTGGAGCAAGGCATGACAAGGAAACACAGCACAAGAACAGCCAAAACGTTTTTAATTCTCTACTTGTCCTGTGGCTTCCTGACCCCATTCCATTCCCTAACCCTCCGATATTGCCAAGAAACTCCATACCTGGTAATCCTGATCATCAATCCCAAACCTCTCCCGAAGGTTTCGGAACACCATGGGGCAATACTCCTTAAACTTAAATCGGCTGGGCAGGTTCTCCCTAGGGATAAACAGAGACATGTCTTTGTGAGCTGCCCCTTGCTGATCTTAATTATTTTTATTATTATTTGTAATAGAAACAGAGTCTCGCTATGTTGCCCAGGCTGATCTCAAACTCCTGAGTTCAAGCAATCCTCCCACCTCAGCCTCCTAAAGTGCTGGAATTACAGGCATGAGCCACCATACCCGGCCTCGTCTATATTCTGACTTCAGAACTTCTCAGAGTGCGTCCACAGATCACCTGGATCTGAACAGTCTGCCATACTTAACACGTAGGTTTCTACGCTGTTAGGAATTCTGAAGTTGAGTCTAGAAACAAATACTCCAAGGCTGGGCGTGGTGGCTCATGCCTGTAATCCCAGGACTTTGGGAGGCCGAGGCAGGTGGATCACAAGGTCAGGAGTTCAAGACCACACTGGCCAACATGTTGAAACCCTGTTTCTATTTAGAAAAAAAGAAAGAAAGAAAGAAAGAAACACTCCAGGTGATTCTGAGCATGTGAAAGTTTAAAAACTTTACATCTTGTATTCACCTTGTAAAAATTAATCCAGCGGTATGCTTGTGATTTGTGCACTTTTCTATGTGTATGTTGCCCTTCAATAAAACATACATTAAAGAAAAAAACTCCCGCCCGCTGGGCCAGGAACCTGAGTACAGGCTCCACCTCACAAGTGCAGTGCTCACTCAGTGGGAAGTGCATGTGAACATCTGCTGTGCAGTGAAATCAGCCTGAATGCTATAGGGAAAAACCTCCCTCATCAGAGGGCCCCTCTCCTCTGGCCATATTCCTGTGGAAGCATCCTGAAAATGATCACACACAGGAACCTCACCCTGGGCTTCCACTGAGAAGTAGGAAAAGAGTGCCTGAGTTAAAGCGGTCCTCAGTCAATTCAGTGGGAACACAAAGTCCTGCCTGCTGGCACCAATCGCCACCCTCCCACTCCTTAGTCAATACAGACGCCCAGGAGGAGGATCATCTTGAAATGATGACTCCTACCATTCTCCATCTTACAACAGCTATCCTGCCTAGGAACCCCCTTTCAGAAATATGTCCTCTGACTACTCCAGGATGACAGGCTTTAAGGAAATCAAAAGGAATGTCTTCTTGGAGAGGAAGTAGCCTATCTGCCTTATCTACCCCATCTTCTAGTAAACAGCACCAGAATCTAATAAACAGCATATACAGCACTGGTGCAGTGGCTCACACCTGTAATCCTAGCATTTTTGGGAGGCCGAGGCTGGTGGATCACCTGAGGTGAGGAGTTCAAGACCAGCCTGTCCAACATGGTGAAACCCCATCTCTACAAAAATGCAAAAAATTAGCCGGGCGTGGTGGCGGATGCCTGTAATCCCAGCTACTCGGGAGCCTAAGGCAAGAGAATCACTTGAACCCGGGAGGCAGATGCTGCAGTGAGCTGAGATTGTACCACTGCACTCCAGCCTGGGCAACAAGAGTGAAACTTTGTCTTAAAAAAAAAAAAAAAAAGTACATACACAATTGTTAGAAGGACAAAAGGAATAAAGATAAAAGAAAATAAGAGATTGGGTTCTCTGCTTTAGGCCAAGACATCAAGGAGGTAGAACCTCACCAGAAGTCACGGACCCTGAAATGGGTAGTGGTGCAATGCCCACTTCCAGAGCCCTGACCCTTGGGTCAGAACAACCTTCTTTCTGGCCTCTGAGTTGAGGGCTGCCTCTCCTCCTTAGGTGGCCACTTACCAGGTGGCAGCTATGGAGACAGACAGCTTCTAGAACCAGATGGTGTTACTTACTATGGCAGATGGAGGTCACTAAGGGATGTTCTCAAGTCAGTCTTCTCCTCTGGACTAACAGTCTGGGAATGGTTGGGTGATAGAACCCAGAGAGTGAAGTGGTGGGGACTGTGGGACAATGAAGAATAGAACCAGGATTCCCATGCAGAAAGCAGAAAGTGTGAGCAGCGAACAGTCCTGGGGTGGTCCACAGAGCATGGAAAATTCAGGCCCCAAAGGGCTGAGAGCAGGTCCAAAACTCTGCCAGGTGAGGCAGCCCATAGAATGTTTCCAACAATGTCAGAGACAACCTTCAGACACTAGTGCTAATCCAAGAAGTGACAACAGGCAAAAAAATGGGAAGTGCTACTCTGGGTAGTGCTCTCGAGCCCCCAGCCTGCTGCTCATACACCAGCCAGCCAGAAAAGAACCTGGCGGTATCCCAAGCCAGGAACATGCCTGTCAGCCTCCTGCCTCAGACTAAGATCAAGACGGGGCCACTGCTACAGCCTCACACGGGATGCCTCAGCTCCTGAGCAGCTGACTTCCACCTGAGCTAGCTCTAGATGAATCACCCTGGGCCCAGTCATGTGCCCCAAGGTTCACCGGAGGTAGGCTGATAAAGGAGTGAGATGCCAAGACTAGGATGAGAGGCACATAACGAATGCATTTTCCCGGCCATTATGTCAGCTCTGAGACCCAGGTGCTGCCTCGGCTCCCGCCATGCATGAGGCTTCAGAAGCTTCTGACTTGAGGGTAAGGACTGCCCACAAAACCTGAGTCCACTCAGCAGACAACTTACTTATTGAAGAGATGATTGTCCACCTTGATCTTGCTGTAGGCTTTGAAGTCATCTGGCATTAGCATGACAGGAACAGGGACATTGCTCAGCTCATTGATCTGAAAAGCAAGGAAGAAGTAAGGCTCTCAGCCAGGAGGCCACCTGCCACAGAGACACTAAGCTATAATGTAAATGGCACCATCTCCCTAAAAGCACATCCAAGTTTCCCTTTCTTTTTTCTTTTTTTTTTTTTTTTGAGACGGAGTTTCGCTCGTTACCCAGGCTGGAGCGCAATGGCACGATCTTGGCTCACCACAACCTCCGCCTCCTGGGTTCAGGCAATTCTCCTGCCTCAGCGTCCTCAGTAGCTGGGACTACAGGCACGCGCCACCATGCCCAGCTAATTTTTTGTATTTTTAGTAGAGATGGGGTTTCACCATGTTGACCAGGATGGTCTCGATCTCTTGACCTCGTGATCCACCCGCCTCGGCCTCCCAAAGTGCTGGGATTACAGGCTTGAGCCACCGCGCCCGGCCTGTCTTTTTTTTTTGAGACAGGGTCTCATTCTGTCACCCAGGCTGAAGTGCAGTGGCACAATCATGGCTCACTCCAGCCTTGACCTCCTGGACTCAAGCAATCAGCCCACCCAGCCCCACAAGTAGCTGAGACTACAAGTGGGCACCACCACATCCCGCTAATTTTATTGCATTGTGTAGAGACAAGGTCTCACTGTCCTGAGCTCAAGCAATCCTCCTGCCTTGGCCTCCCAAAGTATTGGATTACCTGGGAGGTAATCCAAGCCCCAAGCCCCAAGCCCCAGGTAACACCCAGCCCCTCCCCATCTTTATTTCTGTTCTTCTCTTCAAATAAGTTCTCAACCTTGCCCTATTTACCTACTGAAACTCTTCACCCAATAAGGGCCAGCTCAAATAGCACTTCTTCCCTGAAGTTTCCCAAGATTCTCTAGACCATAAATACCCTTTTCCATCTTGAAATTCCTGAAGATTTGTTTGTATCTGTCTTCTCGCCATCTCTCTCATATTGTAATTAATGCTTATAAACCTTGCCCTTGCCTGCTATAGTTAAGCTAACCAATAGCATATCATATATATATACACACACACACACACACACACACACACACACATATATATATATATATATATATATATATAATTTTGAGACAGAGTTTCACTCTTGTTGCCCAGGCTGGAGTGCAATGGCGCGATCTCGGCTCACTGCAATCTCCACATCCCAGGTTCAAGCGATTCTCCTGCCTCAGCCTCCTGAGTAGCTGGGATTACAGACATGCGCCACCATGCCAGGCTAATTTTTTTTTTTGTATTTTTAGTAGAGATGGGGCTTCACCATGCTGGTCAGGCTGGTCTCGAACTCCTGACCTCATGTGACCCGCCCACCCTGGCCTCCCAAAATGCTGAGAATACAGGCGTGAGCCACCATGCCTGGCCTTAATTATACTTCTAAGTGAAGATCATCCTACTAATCTTTAGTGCTTGGTACCATTACTAGCATATATGGCAGGTACTTGATAAATATTTGTCAAATGCAATAATAAATGATCAGTAGGTAAATGTCTCCCAACCTAAGTGGGTATTAAGGCCTTTGAACATCTTCATACAAATTGCGGGTTATTCAAGAAATTAGCTCAAGACAGAAAAAAAATGGATGGGTTTATATCGATATGTAACTCATATCCCCAAGGTGAATTTAAAGTGAACAGAAGTACGTGTCTGGCCACTGCCCGACTCTGACCCTCCTGATAAAAATAGGGCCCGGCCTGCTATAGTGGCTCATGCCTATAATTCCAGTACTTTGGAAGGCTGAGGCAAGGGGAACACTTGAGGTAAAGAATTCTAGACCAGCCTGGGCAACACAGCAAGACCTTATCTCTTAAATAAATAAATAAATGAGAGTCCGAGGCAGGAGGATCAGCTGAGGTCAGGAGTTCAAGACCAGCCTGGCCAACATGGTGAAACTCTGTCTCTACTAAAAATACACAAAAAATTTGCAGAGCATGATGGAAGGCACCCGTAATCCCAGCTACTCGGGAGACTGAGGCAGGAGAATCACTTGAACCCAGGAGGCAGAGGGTACAGTTGGCTGAGATCGAGCCACTGCACTCCAGCCTGGTTGACAAGAGACTCCATCTCAAAATAAAGAAAGAAAGAAATTAGCCAGGCATTGTGGTGCACACCTGTTGTCCTAGGTACTCATGAGGCTGAGGTGGGAGGATTGCTTGAGCCCATGAGTCTGAGGTTTCAGTGAGCTGATTGCACCACTGCACTGTACACTAACCTGGGCAAGAGTGAGACCTTGTCTCAAAAAAGAAAAGAAAAGAAAGCAGGGCCAGTTCCTAATGTCAAGTTCTGCCCTACACTAAACTGGGGAAGATGGGACAGGATGCCTTGCCTCTACTGCAAACAAACCTTCTCACTGTCTATTGTCCCTTCAGGGAGCTGGTTCCTGGACAGGGAGCTGGCTTTCTATTGGTGCAGAGATAAGGGCAGATCCTGCCCTTCCCTACCTCAAGTTTAGCCAATTAGTGGTCTAATTAACCACAGATGTCCTCTCTCATCACAGCAGAGTATTTGACATTTGACCCTCAGCCCAGTTGCCACTAATGCATTCAGGATTTAGAGAGGAAACCTTAGTCCTGACTTAATGGATTGGGGGGAGGGGGCACAGCCTTGTGTCTCCCAGACACTTTCCTTGCAAATCCTATTATCTCAATGAGGCCCCAGGCGGCAGTGAGGGGATAACCCAGAGTCATTTATGCTCCTCTAGGAGCATAAATGGGGAAAATGGCATTTAATTTGATGCCCCTTTTATGTTGTAAACCTTTTTGATTTAGAAATGTCAGAGAATGGAAGAAGTTCAAGTTAATGCAGTAACTGGGCTGGGGAATCATACCTTCCCAGAGTTGGTAAAAACCCAATTTATTCATGGGGAAATGAAGGAAGCCACAGGAATGCATGTGCTTGGAAAGGGGCGTGGGGGGGTAGTTTATGGTTGGCAGCGGAGCAGACTCAGTAAACTGCTGGCAAAAACTGACTGGCACAGACACAAAGTGTATCCTGCATGATTCCATTTATATGTAAAATTCTACAGCAGACATCTATAATGAGAGAAATGAGTCGCCTGGCCTGGGGGCAAGGGGTGCCGAATGTAAAGGGACAGGAGAAGTGTGATTCCAGAGTGACAGAAATGTTTTATACGTTGTTTGGGGTGATGGTTACATGAGCATATACATTAGCTGAAATTTATAAAATTGTATACTTAAAATACGCACATTATACATAAACTATTCCTCAATAAAGTTGATTTTTAAATTCTAAGCATCCAGCTTTCTGATACCCTTCATTGGATAAATCCTCCCAATAGCTAAAAAACCCCAAAAGACCCATGCCAGTTCCCATTCCAGGGAGTGCTCACAAGAGAATGTGATTGTCAAATCTGTGCCTACAGAGGAAACCATTCCACCTCCTTGTTTTTCTGCCAACAGAAACAATTCATGGTGGCTGTCCCATTTCCTTTTTCCTGGCATACCAAGCCTGGCTCTGAGACTTAAAGGGAAAACAGAGACAAAGAGTTCAGGGCTCTTCCATAGTTCTGCCTTTTCTGGTTCATACCTCCACGATAGAAAGAACATGCCATTGGCTCAAAGAGTGAGGCCACAGAGCAAAACATTAAAGTATCTGCTGCAAATTGATTCTGGGTTCATTTAAAATCCAAACTTGATGCCAAGGCAGGGGCTTGATACTGGAGGAACTAGAAAAGACTAAAACACTGGCTTGAGAGGGATCAATTGCCCCTTAGCCAAGATGAGTTATTCTAACAGGAACTATTCAGGAATGTTCTATTCATTAATTCTCCGAATAAGTCTTGTTCTCATTTCATCTCTATTCTTTTTTTTTTTTTTTTTTTTTTTGAGACGGAGTTTCGCTCTCGTTACCCAGGCTGGAGTGCAATGGCGCGATCTCGGCTCACCGCAACCTCCGCCTCCTGGGCTCAGGCAATTCTCCTGCCTCAGCCTCCTGAGTAGCTGGGATTACAGGCACGCACCACCATACCCAGCTAGTTTTTTGTATTTTTAGTAGAGACGGGGTTTCACTCTGTTGACCAGGATGGTCTTGATCTCTCGACCTCGTGATCCACCCGCCTCGGCCTCCCAAAGTGCTGGGATTACAGGCTGAGCCACCGCGCCCGGCGATTCTTTTTTTTTAAAATTTATTATTTAATTAGGTTCAATTCAGGTATAATAATTCATCTCTATTCTTGATTATACACCCCAATAGCAGGAAATTTTCTTTTCTTCTTTTTTCTTCTGGGACGGAGTCTCGCTCTGTTGCCCAGGCTGGAGTGCAGTGGTACGATCTTGCCTCACTGCAACCTCTGCCTCAAGGGCTCAAGCAATCGTCCTGCCTCAGCCTTCCAAGTAGCTGGGATTACAAGCGGGCACCACCATGCCTGGCTAACTTTTGTATTTTTAGTAGATACAGGGTCTCACGATGTTAACCAGGCTGGTCTCAAACTCCTGGCCTCAAGTGATTTGCCTGCGTTGGCTTCCCAAAGTGTTGGGATTACAGGCGTGAGTCATGGTGCCCAGTCTAAGAAATTTTTAACTCAGCTAACATTGGTGAATAATCCATCTCTCAACTAGGGGAGACTCACCCCTTACTTCTACTAGGCTACATGTAGATGATTCACTGTAGGGATTAGCCATATTATTATTAATATTTTAGTTTTGCAAAATTTTATGTCCCAGAGAATTCTATTCCATTTCAGTTGAACAGTTCCTGTTGAAATACCCACTACATGCTTCATTCTGTTAGGTAAGTGTATGGGAGGAGAACACAAGGCAATAAAGTGTTGTACACGCAAAATAATCAGGAGGCTTATAATCTCATCAGGGCGATGAGAAAAAGCCCTGACACCATGCAACTCAAAGTCAAAGCAGTATACAACTAAGTGAGAAACCAGGGATACAGACATCAAGAACAGCAGAGGCGGCCAGGCGCAGTGGCTCAAGCCTGTAATCCCAGCACTTTGGGAGGCCAAGGTGGGTGGATCACGAGGTCAAGAGATCGAGACCATCCTG